TGGGGGGAAATCCCGAAATGTGGGGGGAAATCCCGAAATTTGGGGGATTTTTTGACCATTTTGGGTGAAAATCACAAAATTTGGGGGGTTCTGGGTTGGGTTTTGGGGGGAAATCCCGAAATTTTGGGGATTTTGTGACGGGTTTGGGGGAAAATCCCGAAATTTGGGGGATTCTGGGTTGGGTTTTGAGGGAAAATCCTAAAATTTGGGGGATTTTTTGACCATTTTGGGTGAAAATCACAAAATTTGGGGGGTTCTGGGTTGGGTTTTGGGGGGAAATCCCGAAATTTTGGGGATTTTGTGACGGGTTTGGGGGAAAATCCCGAAATTTGGGGGATTCTGGGTTGGGTTTTGAGGGAAAATCCTAAAATTTGGGGGATTTTTTGACCATTTTGGGTGAAAATCACAAAATTTGGGGGGTTCTGGGTTGGGTTTTGGGGGGAAATCCCGAAATTTTGGGGATTTTGTGACGGGTTTGGGGGAAAATCCCGAAATTTGGGGGATTCTGGGTTGGGTTTTGAGGGAAAATCCTAAAATTTGGGGGATTTTTTGACCATTTTGGGGGGAAATCCTGAAATTTGGGGGGTTCTGGGTCGGGTTTGGGGGGAAACCCTGAAATTTTGGGGATTTTGTGACGGGTTTGGGGGAAAATCTCAAAATTTGGGGGATTTTTGGACCATTTTGGGGGGAAATCCCGAAATTCGGGGGGTTCTGGGTCGGGTTTTGGGGGGAAACCCCGAAATTTTGGGGATTTTTTGACCATTTTGGGGGGAAATCTCAAAATTTGGGGGGTTCTGGGTCAGGTTTTGAGGGAAAATCCTAAAATTTTGGGGTTTTTGCGTCCATTTTTTGGGGGAAAATCCCAAAATTCAGGGGGTAAAACCCCCAATTTTGGGGGGTGGGCTCCCCATTTCTGGGTGGGGGAGGGGAGGGGGGTCCAGCTGAGCCCCTCCCCCCCTGACCCTCCCCCTCCCCTCCCCCCAGTTCGCCATTGGCTCGCTGATGGACGATTACCTGGGTGAGCCGGGGGTCCCGGGGGGGTTCTGGGGGTCCCCCCGGGGGGGTTTTGGGGGTCCCTCCCCCCTCATCCCCTCCCCCTCTCCCCCCAGGTCTGGTCAGCTGAGCCCCGCGACCCCTCCCCACTTCTGGCGCCCCCCCCCTCGCATTTTGTGGCTCCCACCCCCCAAATTTTGGGGTGTTCTGCCCCAGATCTTGGGGGGGGCTCTGCGTTTCCTCTCCAAACTCCCAATAAAAGCTTTTTTCTCCCGTTTTTCACCCTTTTTTCACCTTTTTCCTTATTTTTTGGGGGTGGGGGAGGGGTCTTCACCTTTAAGTGGGCCCCCCCCACCGTCATTGCCGCTTTAAGGCGGTGTCGCCCCTTTAAGTGCGACCCCCCCCCCGTTTCCACGGTAACCGCCCCCCCTCCCTTTGGCGCTTTACGTCCGCGCGCGCCACTGTCGCGCTGTCCTCACCACCCCCTTCCGCGCTTGGCGGCCGCGGCCCGGCCTTCTCTCCGCGCTCTCCAAGATGGCGGTGTCCGGGGTGAGTGAGGCCGCCTCCGCCATCCGCCGCCATCCTCCTTCCCCCGCCGCCCCGGCGCGTCCCCGCCGCCACCGGCGGAGCCGCGGGGATCCTGGGATGCGGCCCGGCCGCGCTCGGCGCCGCGGGGATGATCGGGGAGCCGCGGATGGCGGCGGGAAGGGAGCGGGGTTGGGGGGGGAGCCGTGAGGGGAGCGCGGGGTGGGGGAGGGGGCGTGTGGCACCCTCGGCGACATTTGGGGACCCCCGGAACCCCAAAACCCGGGCGGGCTTCAAGAGCCTCTTGAATCGCTGCCAGAGCCAACTTTAGATCCCATAACCGGGACTCTTTGTCACCCGCTGTCCCTCACGGTTCTCCCCCAGCCCTGGCGACATTTTGGGGACCCCAAAACCACAACCGGGACCCCTCAAACTGCGAGGGATTCAAGGCCCCAAATGGCTCGGGGAGGTTTTTGGGGTGGCGTTTTTGGGGTGGCGCAGCTGGCGGGTTTTGGGGACGCTCGGGGGACACCTGGGGACACTTTTGGGGTCTGCAGAACTTGGGGCTTTGGGGGTCTGGGGTTTGAGGTTCCACCCCGAAATCCCAAAACTCGGGGGTTTGAATCCTGAAATTCCCGCTGGGAAAGGTGGGCCCTGAGCCCGGGGTTTGGGATTTGGGGTCCCTGAGCCCGGGGTTTGGGATTTGGGGTCCCTGAGCCCGGGGTTTGGGGTTCCTGATCCCCACATTTGGGATTTGGGGTCTGCAGAACCGGGGGACACCCGGGGACACTCGGGGGACACCTGGGGATACTCGAGGACAATCGGGGGACACCTGGGCACCCTGGGGGACACCAGGGGATACTCGGGGACACTCGGGGGATACCGGGGGACACTGGGGGGACACCTGGGGATACTCGAGGACAATCGGGGGACACCTGGGGACACTGGGGGGACACCTGGGGGACACTCAGGGACACCTGGGAACCCCAGGGGATAACCGGGGGCACTCGGGGGACACCTGGGGATACTCGAGGACACTCGGGAGACACCGGGGGACACCCGGGGAACACTGAGGGATACCGGGGGACACCCAGGGGACGCCTGGGGACACTCGGGGGACACTTGGGGAACACTGGGGGACACTCGGGGGACACTGGGGGACACTCAGGGGACTCGGGGGCACCCAGGGAACAGTGGGGGACGCCTGGGGACACTCGGGGGGCACCCAGGGGATACCGGGGGACACCGGGGGACGTCTGGGGATACTCGAGGACACTCGGGAGACACCGGGGGACACCCGGGGAACACTGGGGGATACCGGGGGACACCCGGGGAACACTGGGGGGACACCTGGGAACACTCGGGGGACACCCGGAGACACTCAGGAGACACCCGGGAGTCACCCAGGGGATACCGGGGGACATCGGGGGACACCGGGGGACACCTGAGAACACTCGGGGGACACCCGGAGACACTCGGGAGACACCCGGGAGACACCCGGGAGTCACCCAGGGGATACCGGGGGACACTGGGGAGACTCCGGGGACGCTCGGGGGACGCTCGGTGGCACCGGGTGACCCCGGTGGCGGTGTCCCCGCAGACCCTGTACACGTACCCCGAGAACTGGCGGGCGTTCAAGGCGCTGATCGCGGCTCAGTACTCGGGCGCGCGGCTCCGCGTGCTCTCGGGGCCCCCCCACTTCCACTTCGGCCACACCAACCGCAGCCCGCAGTTCCTGCAGAAATTCCCGCTGGGAAAGGTGGGTCCTCATCCCGGGATTTGGGGTTTGGGGTCCTGATCCTGAGATTTGGGGTTTGGGGTCCCTGATCCCAGGATTTGGGGTCCTGATCCCGGGGTTTGGGGTTTGGGGTCCCTCAGACCGGGATTTGGGGGTCCTGATCCCGG